AAAAAAAAAAAAAAAAAAAAAAAAAGATTTAGCTCTCCTAAGAAGAATGCCTGGGGCTGACAAAGTTCAAGACAGGCGCATCTTTTTGTGCCTGACAGTAAGGAACTGCTCAAATAATGATGGGGACATGTCAAAAGGACAACGGGGCCAGCATGAAGGGATTCTAACTGGCTGAATCTGGGACAATTTGAACATTTTAAAAAATGACAGTACAGAAAAAAAAAAAGACAGTAACGAATTTAATATAATACACATTGAATATAAAGGGAATCCATGAGCCCATCATAATATTTAGAGAGAAAAAGAGAAATAGAAGTGAAAGACAAGGGAAATCTGTTATAGAAGGCTGACAATGAATGAAAGAATATAAAAAGATTTAGAAAAATCACCATTTTACAACCTCCAATGAAGTAATTGATTCAGAAATAGATCATCATTGGATGCTAAAATCAGTGGGTAAATGTTGTTGGGGAACCATCTAAAACTATTACTCCCTACAGATTTATGTAAATGCACCCTAAAGGTGGAATAGTCTGGCCAGTACCACCTTAGCCAAGTGATCAAATTCAGCATCACCAATAATGGGTCAAACTGACAATATGTGCCGTTTTTTCTTAATGATTTTAAAAAAATTTTTATTGGGCAACAGTGTGTTTTTCCAGGACCCATTAGCTCCAAGTCAAGTAGTTGTTTCAATCTAGTTGTGGAGGGCACATCTCAGTGGCCCATGTGGGGATCAAATTGGCAACAATGGTGTTATGAGCACTGTGCTCTAATCAACTGACCTAACCGGCCGCCCCAATATGTGCCTCTTGATATAAGGTAATGAGAAGTACTCATCATCTCTGTAGTAGTCTAACCAAAATCATTTAACCTGAAACCCTTAAAAGACAAATCCAGATTGTAGGACATTCTACAAATAACCACCAGGACCCTTAAAAAATATTGTTATGAAAAGATACCTATCCACCCACCTCCCAAAAATGGTTCTAAAAAGAGACTAGAGGGACCTGAGAACTAAATGTTATGTGTGGCCCCAGATTAGGTCCTGGATCTGGGGGTCTGGGGAATTACTATCAAGTACATTATCGGGACAGTTTTGGAAATTTTACTATGTTCAGATTAAATATTATATCATTATTAAATTTCTTGGTACGATAATGATACACTGGTCTTGTTGGGGGATGTCCTTATTCTTAGGAGATATAGGTATTTAGGTCTAAGGAGTCAGAATGACAGCAGCCTATTTTCAAGCAAAGAAAAAACGTGTATTGAGATATAGTGCAAATGTGGCAAAATGTTAATAACGGTGAATGTAAGTGAAGGGTTTACATAGCTTATTAAACTATTTTTTCAGCTTTTTGGATTTTGACAATTCTCAAAATACAAAGTTGTAAAAATAGGCACCCAATTCCCCCGTTACTCCCTACGTACATCCCATGCCTCATGGCCTCCCTTTGTTTGCTCATGCTAACCTGCCCAAAGTAATCTTTCCTTACATCCAAATATCTCAAGGCCCAGCCTCACTGCCAGCTCTTCTATAAACCTTCTGTGATCGCAAAGCCTCCAAGACTCTTCTCTGAGCCCTGACAGCATTCAACCCTCACCACCCCCACGGCACAGACTCCTGTCTCGCTTCTCTACCTCAGAAAGGTAGAGACCATGTGTCTACCAGTTGAACTTTACAGAGAACCCAGGATATGTTGTCAACAAATATTTGTAAAATACCATTTTCCAAGATGATGAGTAAATCTGCTCCCACGCATTTACCTTTTGCATACTCCAAAGTTCTCGTGTGCAAAAATGCAACAAGCTCTATTGCTCTTTAGTGCTTATTCATATTTAATGAATATGAATTAAACTCTGTATTTTTCCTAATTCAAATGTGCATATGCATTGGGCCTACCGCTGCCCAGAGGGAATTTACAAGTTGTAAATAAATGTGGTCATTCCTGGACTTTTTCCCTTCTCTTTTTCTACTCCTCTTAACCCTTACTGCATCAATATTCTGGGATGGTAGTGGAGACTGCTAGCCTGAATTTCTTAGAATATCAATGAAGTGGTGCTAAAGTGGAAGTCAATGAAAAGAACAAAATGGTTTCCATTACACATTTTTCATCATCCTACATGTTCCTTTGTGGGCTCTACCCCAGTACCTACCACACTGTGCTCTATGTAGTTCCACGGAGAGGTCCAACTCCTGGGCCAATCGCCCCGAGGGACACGATTCCTCCCAGTCCTAGCACCTGGTCACGAAGTAACCACAAATGCCAACTGCTATCTCCCCTTGTTCGTTTTCTCTCCAGCTTACCTTTTGTGACACTTGATTTCAATAATTGTTTCTCATTTACAGAAACTCTATTTAGTTCTTTTCTAAATCTGCCTGTTTTTTTAAATTATTTTTTATTGTGAAATACACATTTTTTAGAATTAGTTTCAGCTGTACAACACACTGCAATAGTTATACTTTTTACCCCTCGAAGTGACAATCCCCCTCTCCCCCAATCCGCCGCCCCACTTCCCCCCCCCAGTATCATACATATCTATTACAATTCCCTTGACTCCACTCCCACCCTATACTCCACGTCCCATGACTACATATATATCTTCACTTATAGTTGATATAAAATACTATACAACATCGGCTTCAGGTGTACAGTGCAGTGATCAAGCCTCTACCCCATCCATGATGCGGTCTCCCTAGCAAGACATGTGACCATCTGACACCCTACAAAATATTTACAACATTATTAATTATATTCCTCGAACTGTCTTTCATATCCCTGTGGCAATATTGTAGTTACCTATTTATTCTGTCTAATCCCTTCCCCTTCTCCCTCATCTCCACCCCCCTCCCAACTAGCAGCCATCAGTTGTTCTTCTATATCTCTGAGACCATTTCTGCTTACTTTGCTCATTCATTCAGTTTTTTAGATTCCACATAGAAGTGAAATCATATGGTATTTGTCTTTCTCCAACTGACTTATTTCACTTAACATAATAGTCTCTAGGTCCATCCATATCGTTGCAAATGGTACAATTTGCCTATTCTTTTTATCATAGTCATTATACTTTCAATAACGTTTAAAAACACATTAAAACATTTTATGTACCACATACAATTCCAGTAACTGTGACATTCATTTGACAACTTGACAGTACACGTTATGTTAAATTAAAAAAACAAACAGAGATGACAAAACACGGCAGAACTTGGATTCTAGTCTCATCCAAGGTACCTGGAACGCCTGAGAGAAATGAGAGGAATCACTTTAGGAAATACTGAAATGAAATTCTTGAACATAGAGAATGTAGAATTCTTTTCAACCACAGTTCTGTTTTCCTTAGGAACCAGCAGCAAAAAAAGAACTCACAGACAGAAAGCAGGTTTGTGATTGCCAGGGCCTCAGGGAAGGGGCAAGTGGGGAGCAAATGCTTAGTGGGTATGGGGTTTCTGTTTGAGGTAATGAAAAGTTTGGAGCTAGACAGCAATGTTGATTGTCCAATGTTGGGAATGTATTAGTGCCATTGAACTGTACACTATAAAATGGTTAAAATGATAAAATTTGTTATGTATATTTTGCCATAATTTTTAAAAAGTAAAAAAGAAAAAGAACTCGTGAATGCTTCCTAAGGACCTGGAGCTGTGCAAAACACAACCATCAGTTGCATTCTGTGTACACAGGGACAGAAATATAATTCGACTACATGACAACTTCAAAGGGTACATCCAAATCATTTTCATCAGAAAGTCACTCTGTGGAAGAAAGACAACTGGCAGAGCCCAGCCCAGTGACTTCACAAGCACTCAGTCACCACTACCCTCAGACCCCCACCCCCACCCCAACAACCTTCAAGAATAAAACATTCAGATACAAATGAGACATATTTCAAATAGTTTAATTTTAAAAATATTCTATTCAGTGCTAAAATATGTATTCACTCACTGTTGCCCATTTCCATTTCTTAAACTTTTTTGAAACAAAAAATAAAATCACAAAGTTCAATTAAACATGCAGATTTCAAAGAAAAGGGAACTTTCTAGAAAGTCTGAGCTGAAGGAGTACTGTGGGGGACGGGTACTGTTGTCAGACCTCAAATTCTTGCTGGGGCAGAGTCTGTGGCGTGGGTACTGGGGACCATAGTAGGAGGTGAGCCACGCTGGAATGAAATGTACAGGTGAAAACAGGGAAAGCTGCATCTGTGTGTGTGTTGGGGGAAGGGAATGGTTATGGTGGGGGACAAAGAACTGTCAGCAGCTAGAGAGCCCATGAGAGGCAAGATAACCTCAGGAATGGGCAGAAGTGCCAGGACAGCAAGAGGTCTATACGGACTTTTCTGCCTTCTTGTGGAGGAAAGCCCCTTCCCTCCGAAGTCTCTACCCAGGCACTCTCCAACAGCAGCCCATAGGGCACCTAGCCCTATGGAAGTCCATGAGTCTACAGTCGCCATTCAAGTTCAAGTAACTCTAGGCACTCTCTTCTCAAGAGGGTGCCTTCCACATCTCTTTCCTCTTGTAGAAGCGCCAGCAGCTCAGTCCAGAGGTTCTAGAGCACAGACTGCTACCTGGAGGTGACAGATGAACCTTGGGATGGCTGATGCCCCAGCCTACTTGGGGTGCAAAAAGGACATGAGTGCTCTTTTCAGGAGCAAGCAGACACAGGCGCCAGGGACAGGAAGATGACGTTACCACCCCAAGTCCTATGTCAGCCTTCCAGCCCGGAAGGCTCCTATGTGCAGGCTCTGGACCCCAGTGCTTGCCCTTACCCCAGCAACACAGCATGGTCAGAACCAGACGCAATAAATAGAGGCGGGGGCCAGGAGGCTAGGGCGCGGGGATGGTGCTAGCTTTCTGATGCTGTCTGCGGCACTGCAGGTTGGTCCACACAGAAGCGTTTCAGGGGTGGAGCACTTGAGTCTTCCTCTTCCTCAGTAATCTAGGAACAGTCAGAGCACAGAATTACAGGGCCATCCCTCTGAACCAGAACCTTCCATCCACCCTAATTACAAACCAGAAGCCCAATGCCAACCTTCTCGCAGCTAACCAAACGTCTTCCCCCGCCTTAGGACCTGGAGACACCAGTTTCCCACACTGCCTCCCCTCCCTACTGGAGCACACTCGAGGCCATATGTGCAATTCATAGCAAGAGTCCTTCTTTTTTTCTTAAGAACTGGGAAACCCTAAGTGCCTCCTTACCGGTGTCTCCAGTGGGACTGGTTCTTCCTTCGTGAGGGTGGGAGGTTCATCAGCAACTTCTGAGGCAGGTAGGGAGGGCTCTGAAAAAGCAGCAAGGTCAGCATACCTACAGGGCCTCCTGAGGCGGGAGGCTCCTACAGAATCTGCTCTAGCTGGGGGAGCTTTCCCAAGAGCTATGTGGAGGTAGGTGCCTTACAGAAGAAGCAATACTGCCGGAGAATCAGTATGTATTAAAAGAAGAAATTCGCAGGATATAATGCAAAGGGCATGAGCTCTGAAGTTAGAAGAAATGAAATCGGAGACACCCAGTTCCACCAGTTCCTAGCTACTTGATCCTGGATAAGCAATTTAGCCTTCCTAAGACTCCACTTCCTCATCTGTCAAATGGAGATAACAGAATAGCTATTTCATAGGGCTTGGGAGAGAACTGTACCAGGAATCAAATATAAAAAGTGCCTCACACAAAGCCTGGCATTCATTTGTGTTGCTTATTTTCTTCCTTCATTCTGTGAGAAGGGAGAAAGACAACCATTCCCCATAACAGCTCAAATTGTTAACAAATGGCTTGAGGCTGCCAAGGCTCTGCAGCATTTTCTCTAACCTCTTACTCTAAAGAGAAACGTCAAAAACAACAGGCAAGGCCCCTCCCAGATGCTCATCCTGGGTCAACTGAGAGACTCACCCTCGAGGATTTCCTGGCCCAGAGTAGGGGGCTGGGAGTCATCTGTACGGAAGTCAGAGGTGTGTGCTGGGCTCAGAGACTCGCTTTGCTGGGGGCTGGGGCTCGAGTTGGTGCTGCTGTCCACCTTGAGTTGATAGACATCAGACACAGAACTCTGGTTGCTGTTTTCATCTGAAAACCAAATGTGACAAAGGCCAACAGTTGAGAGTGGTAATTTTTCCCTCGAGAGTAACACAGTAGAGCCAAGGGCCTGGTGTATCTCCTTGGGCAGCCATGAACACACTGTATCTCCTTAGTTCAGGCCTTAGGCAGCAGCCATGGACACACCAGGTACAATGATCATTGCTGGAGATGCACCCTGAACCGAAGGCAGACACTCACGGGCTTCTATGCACTGCAAATTATTTACAAAGTCCAAGCTGATTAATTTAAGCATTTTCTATTTCACAACATATATTCTAAGCACCAGATGCAGCTAGAATCTTTAAGTTTATGCAATATGTATATTTCAGGACGGTCAGGATATAGTTATTAATCCTTTATTACCCACCAATTTATAGCTTAGCCCTGGTATTTTCTTACTGTTCAGGGGAACAGAGGGACGTAGCTATGCCTCTCAACCTTTCTCACAACACAAGATGTGTAGAAAAGGATGAAATCTGTCTGGCACTCTCGGCTATCTGAAAGAGGAGGGCAGTGGTGTTTGGAGGTACTCAGCTCAGGCCTTGAAGTGGCCCAGGCTCCACCTGATGCCTCACAGACCAAGGGATTCCCACCTGGGAAGCTGTCTGATGCTTAAAGTCACCACATAAGATAGAAACACAGGAGTCAACAACTCCTTCCTCTCCCTCTCCTCCGGCACCCAGTCACCAAATCTGATCCATCCTTCTGCTCTATCACTTGTGTTCATTCCTTCTTCTCCTGCTGCCTTAGCTCAGGCCTCATAATCTCTGGCCTGGTCTTCAGTAACAGACCAGAGATAAGTGCCCTTCCTTCAGTCCCATGTACTCCCAACTGTACTTCGCATTACTGCCAGCGTGATCTTTTTAAACCCTTCACTGGTTCCCTGCACTTAAAGAATAAATTTCAAACGCCAGTGCTTCTCCGTGCAGGCACAAGGTGGCCCTATCATTCCATACAAAGTCCTTTCTGAGCTCCAGGCTCACTGCCTGTTTTTAGTCCATACACACCCTCGGCTCCAGCCAAGCTGGACCTAAGTGAAGAGCTGCTTCATGCACAGGTGTCTGTTATAACCTGCTCTTTTCGGTCATCCTGGAAAGGCCAACATTGAGCTGAAGCATCACGTCCTCCGCAGAGCCATGTCCCAGGCTCCCTTGGGTGGAAATGACCACTCTTTTATGCTCTTGTTGTATACTGTGCGCACCTGTATTTTTATTATTTTACACGCCAGTTTCCTTCTATTAATATTATACTCTGTGCAGGCAGGCTCTGTGGCTTACTGGTCCTTGAATCTCTTGCGCATAGTACCTGGCACACAGTAAGAGTTCATTAAATGTTCACTGAATGAAAAGGATGAGATGGTGGCCAGATTGAGAAAATGGAGCCTCATATGTCTCCCAGAGCTCTATGATTACTGAACATCCCACACATAGCTACAGCCTTTCCCTGTAGTCTTCCTTTATCACACTGACCCAGGTGGGGAGGGGTTAGGAGAGAGGTGGGGAGGGGACACCGGCACACTCCCAATCTAGTCTTGAAGAGAAAATCATAAGCCTTTTCTATTCTTTACTTCTACAAAGACCACTGTCTTCTATGCTAAAATGGAAGTCGCACTTTATTGTAAAAAGAATAAAGCTGTGTCACTTTTAAGCCTAGGCAAACACTTTTCTTCTCCAAGCATCAGTTTCTATAACTAGAGATGATGATTACTGCCTGGTTTATTTCACAGGCTGATGTAAGAATAAAAATGAGACACTGAAGTGAAAGTGCTTTGTAAACAGTAAATGCCACATAGGTGTAAAAGGTAACAACATGAATGCAGTGCTGACACAGACAGGATGTTTACCGAAGACTGGTTTAGGAGGCAGAGCTTATGCCAACAGTAGGTTGGCAGATGCCTTGGCTTTGGGTGGCCTACTGTAAGGCATTATCATAAATACACACTCTAAGAAAATAGCTTCTGGGGCCAGCCGAGTGGCTCAGTTGGTTAAGAGCGCGAGCTCTGAGCAATAGGGTCGCTGGTTTGATTCCCACATGGGCCAGTGATGCTGCACCCGAGCTGAGCTGCTACTGAGCTACCAACAGGTGGCAGGATGGCTCAGCTGGTGAGAGCATGTGCTCCTAACAACAAGGTTGCTGGTTCCACTCCCACTTGGGATGGTGGGCTACACCCACCCGCAACTAAGATTGAACATGGCAACTTAAGCTGAGTGGCCGCAAGCTGCTGACGGGCAGCCGGATGGCGATTGTACTTGGAGCTGAGCTAGCTGCACCCTCTACAACTAAGACTGAAGAATAACTTGGCTGTTTCCCTTCCCCAATAAAATCTTTTAAGGAAAAAGAAAACAGCTTCCGGTCCAGAAACCCAGGAACTAACATGAGGTCTGTCACTTACTAGTTATGTGACTTTAGACATATGACTTCACCTCTCTGGGCCTCAGTTTTCTTAAATGGAAAACGAGGATATTATCATCTATCTTGCAGTGTTATCATGAGGTCTAAATGAAAAGACTTATGTAAAGTGCCTAGCAAGATACCAGCAAAACAGTAGGCACTGAAATGATATATAGAACTATTATTAGTGAGTTCATCTAAGTTTTCATTTTCCTGCAAGGAAGACATATGGATGCAACTCACCCTGGAATTCAAGGAGGAGAGAGGAATTGGCTGAGGCATCAGAGGGAAAGCCATTAGGTTCCCGGGCTGCTGAACCATTCGATTTTGACTTTTCTTTCTAGAAAAGGAAAAAAAGAGGAATATGACAGAGCCAAGCAGGAGACTCACAGAGAAGGAGAATGGTGCTAGTTTAGACACCAGAGGTCTGGATTAGGACTGAAAAGGAATAATGACAGTGGCTTGAGAATCCAGGGCCCAAGGAATAACAAAACCCTAGACAAGGTGTCCCCAAGCCTCAGTGTCTCTATCTGTAAAATGGACCTTTCCAGCACTAATATTATGAATCACAAGTGACAGGCAGATAGACATGCTTCCACTAGAGCTCCTTGTGCTACTCTTCTGCTTTCTGCCCTGATCAGAATGCTCTATTCAACCCTTCCCTATGCGGATGGGGGAGAAACACAAAATACTCATTTGAGAAAGATTCCTATTTTAGTAGCACAGCAAGAAAAAATAAGCAAAAGAAGAATGGACCTCTGACTGGACAAAGGAAGGAGTCACTTACATGTAATGCAAGAAGTTATGGGACAGGGCTGGCCCGAGTGGTGTGATGGTTAAGAACTGGCTTGGGACGCCAGGGGGCCCCGGTTCGGATCCCACATATGAGGGCCAGTGACACTGCCCTCCACAGCTAAGATGCTGAACAACAGCTCAACCTGGAGCTGGGCTGCTGTGAGTCGCCGGCGACAGTGTAGGCTGCAGCCCCTGGGGCAGTGGGTTGCCATGAGCTACCGTATGTAGCCAGCAGCCAGCGTGAGCGGCCAGCAGCCAGCGTGAGCGGCCAGCAGCCGCAGTGAGCGGCCGTCCAGAAGCCGGCGACTGATCTGCCTCACCCGGGAAGAGCGCAATGATAACACCAACATGGGCCAGTGAAGCGACGTCCTCCACAACTAGACTGAAGAACCAAAGGACAGCAACTTGTCTGTTCCCCTTCCCCCGATTCCCCAGCGCTGTTCCTCTCCAATTCCCCAATAAAATCTTAAAAAAAAAAAAAAAAATTTTCTATGCCACTGAGTAATCTTCTACATCTTTTTTATAATAGTTACAAAGCTTTACAAGAGGCAGGTTCACAATAACTTAATAAATTCTTTACAATAAGATCTTTATTTTGCTTGCAATTTTTAAATACTATGAACACTGTAGATGTACCTTGTACACATTATGATTATCTCCTGAAGATAAATTCCTAGAGATAAAACTTCTAGATCAAAGGGATTAAATATTTTGAAGCCTTCCCCCCAGGCTTTACTGAGTTATAACTTACCAAAAAAACCTGTAAAAAAAAAAACCTGTAAGAGGGCCGGCCGAGCAGCGCGTTGGTTAAGAGCTGGCTTGGGACACCAGCTCTGAGCAGCAGGGCTGCGGTTCGGATTCCACATTGAGGGCCAGTGACACTCGCCCTCTACAGCTGGAGCTGGGCTGCTGTGAGTCGCCGGTGACGGCGTAGGCTGCAGCAGGGCTGCAGTGGGTTGCTGTGAGCTACGTGAGTGGCTGGCAGCCAGTGTGAGCGGCTGGTAGCCAGTGTGAGCTACTGGGAGCCGCTGTGAGTGGCCGACCAATGACCGGTGACCGATTGCCTCACCTGGGAAGAGCACAATGATTACAATACCAACATGGGCCAGTGAAGCGACGTCCTCCACAACTAGACTGAAGAACAAAACAGCAATTTGTCCACCTGCCTGTTCTCCTTCTCCAATTCCCCAACGCTGTTCTCCTCCCCCCAATCCCTCAATAAAAATCTTTAAAAAAAAAAACCTGTAAGATATTCAAAGTGTACATTGTGGTGATTTGATGCATATATACAATGTGAATCTAGTTAATTAACACATCCATCACTGAAAGCTTTTAAATATACATACCATATTTCCCCATGTATAAGACACACCCTTTTTCGAAAAATTTGGGGTCTAAAAACTGGGTGCACCTTATACAGTGGTTGTATGAGTGCAAAAACAAGCGCAAAAAAAGCGGGAAATGCAAGTTTAAAAAAAACCCTACAACCACTGTATACGACGCACCCAGTTTTTAGACCCCAAATTTTTCGAAAAAGGGTGTGTCTTATACATGGGGAAATGGTATATGGTCAACTTGACCTGTCTAAAGTTTATGCCAATTACTCTCCCATCAGCGGTGTCCCACTCCCTTGTATCCTTCACATTATTTTCTTTACCAATTTGATCATTTTCCAACCTTCAGAGATGGCACACTACCATGAACCACTGGAGGTCCAACTGATAGACCTCAGGCCCACCTCGTAAGCTGACACAAACACTGAAAAGCCTTCAGGAGAGACAAAGAGAGCTGAGTCCTGGGAGCATTTGAAATAGGAAAGGGCCAGGGACTTTAACATGGGAGAAATGGGTTGGGGGAGGGAGGCCTTTCTAGCAGTGTCCTTCCCCACATATACAGACCACTCAAGAAATCTACTGCCTGACCTTTGGGCCTTAGGGGTGATGGCATTACCAGAGCAAGGGTTGCATGAGGAATAAAGGGTGGCTCCAGAGCCCTCCTTCCTTTCACCCATCAGCTCCTTGGGCTTGGCAATGACAAGGCAGGATGTTGTTCCTATATAAAGGAAGACTGGTACTAGGGCGTTCCCTGGGAGGCAGAGGAAGATGGGAGAAGCGAAAGGGAAAAGCTGAATCCTGCAGCTAGAACCCCACCCCTTAAATTCATTTAGAGGGGAGAAAACCAGAGCTTAGGCCTACATACTCCCCTCAGTTACATATTACTTGCCAAAGCAGCTCAGAGTCCCAAGGGAATAAAAGATGACTGCACAGAAAAAACTAACCAGACATAGGAGGAAAACAGCACCATGAAAGACAATTAACAGAACAAGCTATATCAGAATGGTAATTGGACAGAAGAATTTAAATAGAACATAGTATGTCTACTCAGAAAGATGATGATGATACTAGAAAGTTGTTCTGAAGAACCAATTGAGAAAATTTGGTATGAATAATGTAATTGTTCAAAATAAAAACTGAATGAGTTTAATAGCAGAAACAGATACCGCTGAAGAAAAACAACTGGGTTGAAAAATCGGAATACATGAGGAAAGGACAGAGATGAAATACATAATAAAAGTTCAAAAACAAAGACGCTAGATGTGAACATTACAGGATAGTCTTACAGAAGTCCTGGGAGATCAAAGACAGAAGAAATTCTAAGTTTCCAGAAATACAAGAGGGTCACCTAGAAAGAATCAAGAATTAGACTGACATCAGATTTCTTAACAGCAACACCAGAAACACAACAACTAAGCAATAATTTCAAAATGCTGAAAGAAAATAATTTTGAACACAGAATTTCATATACAGGTAAAATGTTCATTAAACATGAAAGTAAAACAAAGATATCAGGAATAAAAAGATATTTTCAGAAACTTTTTTCTAGAAAAGCCCTCTTTGACAAAACTCTTGAAGGGTGTATTGCAGCAAGAGAGATAAATCTGGAAAAAACAATAATGAGTAGGTACAAAGGGTTAAATAATTAGTAATGTTTACTCTAATTAAGCAATGACTAAAACAAGAAATACCTATAAAAACTGAAATATCTGAATATCTGATCTAAAATTTCAAAACTAAGGACAAGGTAGGGATGGAAGTGGGGGAGAGGTGTAAACCAGAGGTGCCTAAAATGTGTTATGGTTGTTATCAGGTTTACAGGGAAAACAGATTTTGATAAGCTTTATAGGGAAAAATAGTAAGTCTTACTAAGTTAGAGGTAGCCAATAGAAAAAAAAGAACTTTCAAATCAGCAGAAAAAAAATTATCATCACGAGGTGAAGAGAGAAAAAGAAAAAGCGTATTATGATAGAAATCCTTGTCCATATTAATAGAATTTTTAGGCGGTCACATTTCCCCAGTCTTCCTGGCCATTAGATGTGCCACAAACTATTGGGGGGGGGGCGGGAGAGGGAGAGATAGTGAGATAGTGAGATAGTGAGAGAGAGAGAGAGAGAGAGAGAGAGAGAGAGAGAGAGAGAGAGAGAGAGTGCGTGTGTGTGTGTGTATGTTCTGAGGCAACTTCTAGGAAACTCCTTAAATTCATGAAAATACCATTGGCCATCCTTCCACTCCTGCTGCTGCCTGGAATCTAAA